GCCGGCTCCGTGACCGTGATTAGCGCCGGCCACAGCTTCCGCTGGATCCCGAGAAGCACCGGCCTTTGACTTTTGTTATGACAGGATTTGATATGTTTTGCTTCGTATTTTCGGTCGGGTTTTGTAGGGTTTGCTACAGGCTTTTACAGCTCGCATTTTTTGGTATGGGGGTTTCGTCTGTTTTTTGGCTGGGTTTTAACCTCTACGCGGATCTGTCTTCATTTGTGATGTGGTCATTGGCGTTGTGATCTGGTTGGATTTTCAATGATTATGAAACTGGAGCTCCAAGGCCAAGGCCACAAGGCGATCACCTTGAATCCGACAAACCCTTATCCAGACGCAGATGCCATTTAGGTTTTAAGATTTTTAGGATATGAACCTGTGTGAAGCCGAAGTGCAACAGGGCACAGACACAGACTCATCCAACAAGCTCATAGTAAGGTCAAGCGCCTGCTGTTATGGGTCTCATGGCCTTAGGGAATGTCGGAAGCCCAGAACCTTTAGACCTTCCGAGCTTCAGCCTGTCCGGCTCATGGCTGCAGCAGGTCTTTTCGAAGGGTAGGGGGCTGTTAGGATACAGTCAAGATTTTAGGGTTGGGTTTGGGGTTCGAAAATTTGATGGCTCGGGTCGAGGGTTTACGGTCAAGAGCGGTGCAGGTTTTTGGCGCTTGGCCGCTGGGGCCGCCTCAGAATCTGGACGCAGCCGGAGGTGGCGACTCGAAACGTGGTAGGAGCCTGAGGCTTAGCCCGGAGACTTCAAAACACCGTAATTAATTACGGGACATACGGCAGTTCTTATTTGGGCTCTTACTGTGAAATACGGGACAATCATCCCTTAATGAAAGGGGCTCTAGGGGCTTCAAGGATTAGACTCGGGTTTCTCTTAAGGGTTGTTTAAAGGTTACGATGAAGGGCGATTATTAAGGGTTTGCTATGAACCAGGGGCCCCAGTAAATACCAAGTTACCCCCTTAGGTTTCTTGATGTTGCGTAGACGATAATCTACCCCAAAACTCTACTCTACCTATTCAGGCCCCTGCATCAGGGTTTTGCGAGTGCTTAGCAGGAAGTTTGGTGGCCTTATGAGGTTTTTCATTAAGGGCCTTCTTGGGTTTCTTTATCTTGCCGATGCATCTGCGAAGCGCCAGAATTCCAAATACCAAGGACATCTGCAAACCCTCGTCGTTCCAAGCTTCACGTAGTCCCAACCACAGAAAAGCCCAAAGCCCTTCCGCCAATCCCATAGGACCCTTGACCAACAGCCCTAAGCCCCAAACCCTAAGCTCCAAGCCCCAAGCCAAGCCCCAATCCCTGATCAAACACGCTGAACTTTGAGCCCCACCCCAAACTCACCACCGTAAGCCGGGCGTAGAACAATCAAACCACGCCCAAAGCTCAAAGCGACCCAGGTAGTGGCAGCTTCGGAACTTTCCGCGGTGGCACTCAGCTGGCCCACGAAGGTCGATAGTTGGTGTATTACGTTTCACGTTGTTGGGCCTACTTGGAGGTTCATGGGTTGTTATTAGTAGGGTGCTAAGTAGGGTAACTATACTTATAACTCATATAAGGGGCTTATAACTACCCATGGACCTCCAAGTAGGGGTTCTCGGGATATGGGGGTTTAGGGTTTAGGGGATCAGGGGTTTAGGGTTCAGGGTTTGGGCTGTTGTCGGATTTAGGCTCTTGGGGGGTCAGGGTTTGTGCTCCCGGGCCAGGCTGCTCAGGATTCCGATGTTAGGGCTATGGGTGATAGCTCGGCATGCTCTTTCACTTGTTTGGGGGGGGGGGTGGCACTTAAAGAAGAATCAGGGGAAGGAATTGGGTCGAACGGCAATTCGATTTTCCAGTTTGGAAGAAGCGAAAACTCCAAACACCCATGCCGTAGTTTAGGGTTTAGGGTTTAGGGTTCAGTGAGTTGGACGGCTAAACCTTGAGCCCAAGAACCAATGCTGCATGTTCTCAACCTTACACCCCAAGCCCATGCTGAATTGCAAACCCGAAACCTTCAACCCTACATCCTAGACCTCCAACTATAAGTCCTAGACCCTCAGCTCCAGACCTTAAGCCCTTAGACCTTTGCTCCTCGATCCTAAGTCATTTTGGCCTCAGGGCTTGCGATCCCCTGATACATGGTGCCTTGGCAGTTCTACTACAGTAAACCCACCTAAGCATTAATCTAATTTCTCAATACCTGTGTTGTGTGTTTCGCTGTGCAGGATCTAGTTACATTCTACATGTATATGTGCACCGTGCATTAGCGTATAGCCACCACAGCATACCTTTCTGTATAAGAAGTCGTAGTCGTAGTGGTCGTAGCAGTCGAAGTAGTGGCAGCGCTTTGCTTGTGATTAGAACCACTTTGACTGCCACTGACACTATTGAATCTTGCTTCGTCTTCGTACTTTGACTTTTTTAACAGCTCGACGGTCCTCCACACTGCTTCAGTCCTCTTGGTCTCGATGCTGGCTGCAGCTCCCTGTCTTCGGTCGATTAAGTAACAGCTGTACCACTTCTCACGACTGAACTTGTTGGAATGGGTCAGTAGCATGTGCTTGTCACAAGCCACATGGTCATCGTCCCGACGTGCTTCTGGTGGTCGTTCCATCGTTCTGGGCACGCGTCTTGAAACCCTAAGCCCTAAACCCCGAAGGTGGCACCTTGTTCAGAGGTTCCCGGGGCTCCCATCACTAAGCGGCAAGCAATCGGTTTTGTAGTGAATTCAAGGCCATCTACAGTAATTCTGAAGTCCTACAGTCCTACACCCCGCGCCATCGACCCTTGCATCATGCAGACCCACTTTGTCTTGAACGCCAAAACGCACGCTGAATATTTGTCGGAGAGGCTGCATCGATGAACGCCTGCCGGGACCTTGTTGACCAGACATTTTGCATAGGGTCGCAGCCACATGCGGGAGCTCTACATCGCAGGGTGGGCAATCTTTTTTCCGGGCTTCAGGCGGGCTTTGACTGCGAGAGTTTTGCGATTTTGGGAGTTTACGGGAAGCAATTTCTGCGTGAGGGTTGCATTGTTCGGCTGATGATCTTCAGGACCTTCGGGCGAAGGTTCGAACTAGTTGCAGAGATGTTGGTTTGGTCCTAGGACTTCGAAACGTTGTCGGCGTGGTAAGCCTTACACCTGGACTGTACACCTAGAAGTCCAAACCCTGAACCCTAAACCCCGAAGCCCCTAAACCCCAAACTGTATTAATTGGTATACACCCCGTCGCCGGCTGGGAGCTTAGCTTGAGGTTCCCCGGTTGAGTGCTTCCGGGGTTTGTGGTGCCGGCTCTCCGAGACCCATGGACATGTGAGCTATTGGGTCGTGGTCTTCGTGTTCAGCCCCTTTTATAAATCCTGAGCCAGGATGACATTAGAGCCACATAGCCGGGCCGCAGGCATTGCAGCCTCGAGCGTGAAGTCTTTTGTAACTTTTCAGCTCCAGTCATGCCCACAGTCCGGAATCCGGAACCTTACAGCCATTGTCAAAAAGCACCTCATAATTGCAATAGGGTGCAAGGATTGTTAAGGGGCTTCAAAATAATTGGAATAGTTGTCTTGTAACTTTACGGCGGTGTTACCAGGAATTGTGCACACCCCTGTATTGAGCGAGTTCGTACATTAAGAGATACGCGGCTTTCTGGGAACTCGTGGCATTGCGCGTATCCCTGATTCGGCGCAGAGGTGGGGCGGGAGATCACTTTTCTTGCTGTTAAGATTCCATCCCTAAACCCCTAAGCCCCCAAGACCCCTAAACCCCTAAACCCTAAACGCTTTGGAGGTAGTTCGGAGGCCCCTCTGCGAAATCAGACCGGCTCCTTCGAATCCACAGGGTAGTTCTTTTCTCTTCAGCTTGCATCGCTAGGAGCTTGATGTGGGTTTTCCAAGCAAGGAAATCGTACTCTGGTACATATTTCCATTCTGGCAACTGGAATCAGGCTCCTTAACAATCCCCCAAACTGCAATAGAGCCGCTATTCAGTCTTCGTTTTCTTCCAGAAGAGCCCAGAACTTAGTTTCCCCGGAGCCTTGAGCCGACCTGGGTCATCGAAGCTCACTGGCCTTAAGGGTGAAAGAGCCGTTTAAATGGGTAGTTCTCTATGTACTAGGGTCCCTTTTAGAGTCCGTTTAGAAGGCTTAGTAGCTGAGTTTATGAACTTGAAACTTTTTGGGATAATGAAACCCTCTGTAAACTGAAAGTTTAAACTTTTTTTGGCTTATGAACTCGGCACCTAAGAAGGAGTTCCGTACTATTCTCGGGATCAAGACAAGAACCCTGATTTTGCACTCTTTCTCGTTTGAATCCTTCGACCCTTGGGGGTGAGCTCCAAGTCTACGGGTCTCGTCCCAAGCACCATAGCCTCAGGTTTCAGGGTTTAGGGTTCAGGGGTTCGGGGTTTAGGGTTTCAGGGTTCAGGGTTTAGGGTTCAGGGGTTCGGGGTTTAGGGTTTCAGGGTTTAGGGTTTAGGGTTCAGGGGTTCGGGGTTTAGGGTTTCAGGGTTCAGGGTTTAGGGTTCAGGGGTTCGGGGTTTAGGGTTTCAGGGTTTAGGGTTTAGGGTTCAGGGGTTCGGGGTTTAGGGTTTCAGGGTTTAGGGTTTAGGGTTCAGGGGTTCGGGGTTGAGGGTTTCAGGGTTCAGGGTTTAGGGTTCAGGGGTTCGGGGTTTAGGGTTTCAGGGTTTAGGGTTTAGGGTTCAGGGGTTCGGGGTTTAGGGTTTCAGGGTTTAGGGTTTTAGGGTTCAGGGGTTCGGGGTTTAGGGTTTCAGGGTTTAGGGTTTAGGGTTCAGGGGTTCGGGGTTTAGGGTTTCAGGGTTTAGGGTTTAGGGTTCAGGGGTTCGGGGTTTAGGGTTTCAGGGTTTAGGGTTTAGGGTTCAGGGGTTCGGGGTTGAGGGTTTCAGGGTTTAGGGTTTAGGGTTCAGGGGTTCGGGGTTTAGGGTTTCAGGGTTCAGGGTTTAGGGTTCAGGCGTTTAGGGTTCAGGAGCCTCTGTTCGCGATGCTGCGAGGAGAGAATGCACGCGACGGCGATACGATCCAAGGCATCTACCTCCTGGAAGACGTTGAAGCATTGGGAGGCGGTGCCTCGTCGCCAGTGTCAGTTGTTTCTGTCCTGGAAAGAACAGATGATCCTAAGCACTTGACCCTGAACCCTCAACTCGAGATTTCAGGTTCGGTTTGTTTTGTCGAAGAGTTGCCATCTGCAGATCCACTACCGCACCCTCCTCCTCAGATCGATGCGGGCCGAATGTCAAGGCGTCCCTGTAGTATGAAGTGTTGCAGAGTGTTTCGGTCGGGCCTCCTCTGGCCCCACGCGAGCTTCACAGGCTTGTATTCCTAGTTGTGCTAGTGCTAGTTGTAAGTGATACTGCCATTGCTACCATAGTATGAAGACCCTTTATTCTGATCCCGGGGTTCGAGCCGCGAGTGTCCCTGATGATGACATCGGCTGTGAGAACGTAGATGATGGCGATGGTGATGAGAGTGGTGAATGTGATGATAGGGCTCCCCATTTCAAACTCGGCTCTTTGGTCCCTCGTAGCACAGTAGCACCTGCACCCAAAGCTCTGGCCATCAGCCTCAGCTGATTGGGGTGCGTCCCAATCTTGAGGTGCTAAAGGACCATTGCGAGTTCGCCGTGTTCGCCGAGTATAAGAACCTCGACGAAGATGCCCAGAAGAAGCTGTTGCAAGCACTGGAGGGCGCCGTGCTCCCCGGAAGCTTGCAGGACAATTTCTAATGCTTTTGCGCATCATCCAGCGCCTTCACCAGCGACTGGTGAACCCCCCCAGTTCAATGTTTTTGACTTGATGACGGGGACTGGGGCAATACGGTTGCCTCTCTGTGCCATGTCCTTTCTCGTCTGGGGCAGCCCATCATGAGTAGAGCGAGTCCTTGAACCGTGAAGCCTGAGCCCCATACATGCATGTTGCTTTTCGTTGAGGTGTTAAGACTTTTCTGTTGTATTTCACGCATACGAGCAGCCCAGGTTGATGCAGCTTGCAAACATTCTTGCGCAGTTGCAGTTGCGAAATGGGAAGGCAAGCAGCAAGAACAGTCGAAAAAGTAAGGCCGAAAGCTCCAGCGAAGTTAGCTCTTTGGTGACGGCGGTAAGAGCAGCTGCCGACAATCCACGAGTCGCTGATACCCTGACGCCCGATGCCTTCGACATCCTCCGGGACTTCTTGTCATCATGGGGTGCACCTGTTGGTGCTGAAGAGCTGCTCTACCGACACAATCTTCATGAGGTCCGGATTCGTCAGGAGGTATTGAGCCAGCTGAGCCAATGTGCAAGTTCGGATCAGAGCGTTACAAAGCGCAGCTGCGATAGCTCCTGGGAGCACTTGCAGGCAGTGTCTATCGCAAGCCTGCAGCTCTTCCGCAGCATGACGAAGATGCGTTTGGAGTGCAAAGTCGTGGGAAGTCCACATCATACGGTTGGACTGACAATGGTAGTAGAGGACGCGTTGGGAGACCGGGCTCATTGCGGTGTGTACAACCTGCCGGGGGTTTACAACCAGCAGACAGCAGACAAGGCCATTCCCCTAAACTCCACGTTGATCATCGCGGAGCCCTTCATGAAGATTATGGCTGATGGTACTCGAGGCATTCGCGTGGACAACCCGGACGACACTTACGTTGCACATTGATTTACGTGTTTTGTGGGTATTTGCTGCTACGTCTTGCTTCCTTGCTCCAATATTGGTTCATCCTCCATATTTGGCAAAAAACGAAACCTAAACCCGAAATGCCGGACCCTGAACCCTGTCCCTCTCCCATCTCTGAATCCCTCTCGCTCTCTTGCCCTTTATCTCTCCCTCTCCAAAGTTTCTCCCTGCACGGGCCCTCTCTGTCTTTTTGTTCAGTCTTCCTATTTTAGGGGGGCCAAATGCTTACCAATACTATTCTGGGGGCTCCTTATCATAATTGTAGTATAATGGGCCCCAGAACCCTATTCGAATTATCACTCTCCTTTGGGTATCTTCTCCGCAAGGTGATTCGCTTGGGGCCAGGAAAACGGGCGAGGCCTACACCCAACTGGTTACTGGCTAAACGACGAGCAGATGGTACCAACAGCAACAGATTCCAGAGGAACAAACGAAACAGGAGTGCATAAAGGTTCGCCATTGCTACAACTCTTACTTCATCACCATCATCAGAAGCAGCAACAACAGCAGGAGCAGCAACAACAACAACCAACGCTACTGACCTACTGCCGTAGTTTTCTCTGCTCCTGCTTTCCAGGTTTGCTCATCATTTCGGTAACTGGTGAACAGGGTTTCGCACCATCTCAATCCTAGTAGTGATGGCTTTGCTACGGCTGCTGATCGGCATGAGGGCTTGGACGGGGGTGAGAGTGATGATGAGGATGCGATTGCGAAGACGACGACGAGGCGGCAATAAAGATGACAACCAGTTTCCAGTCTCGAGGTCATTGCAAAGCTATATCCTTGAGGTCCAAATGGGGAAAGCTTTTGAACATACCGCAAGCTGCAAGTATGGTGTGTTCGCTGTGGGAGATCGAGACTCCATCTCCCTGCCCTCTTGAACTGATTTCGGCCTAGGCCAGGTGCTTCAACTTCGGTCTCCTCATGGGATGCTCAAGTAAGGATGTCTTTCTACCGTTTCTACCTGTCGTGGCGACCCCTTCGTGGGGTTGAACTGTTGTGAGACGAGGCTTTTTCTCTCTGTCGTGGCATAGGGTCAAGGGTTTCAGGTTTATATGTCAGAGATGGCTCCAAGACTGGAGCACTAATCTATTGAGCCAGAAGCTCTCAGGAGATCCAAATCTTCCTTCCGGGACAGCGACTTCTTCCCCGTTTGGACGCGCGTATTTCCGCGCGGCACTCTGCATTTGCCGGAGGACTATCGGAAGAGCCCGAGCACGGCGTGCGAGCGCCGGTGGATGTGCATGACTTGCTGGGCGACTTTCAGTCCGGTGCAACGGTGGAGCTACATGGCCTCACATCGAAACGTGGCGGGCAACTCAACGGCAAGGTGGGAGTGGTTGCAGATGAGCAAGATCCCAAAGACGTGGAGCGCATTTCCGTGGAGCTTGCTAGCACCACCGGACGTGTAGAAGATGTAGAAGTTGTCAAAATTCGGCCTTCCAACTTGCGCCATGTGGCCGAGAATTCTTTGCAGGACATCCTTCCGGCAAAGGCACAAGCCAACGAGGCCTTTGCGAGACGTGACTATCTTGCTGCAATTGAAGGTTATGGCGAGGTCATCAGGAAGCTGTCGCTCATCAAAACTCACGAGGCTGCATCTGAGAAGGTGAAGTGTTTGTGCAACAGGTCGCTCTGTTTCAGCAAATTGGAGAGATGGGATGAAGCTCGCGAGGACTCGCTTGCGGCAGTGGAACGACGCTAGGCTGCAGGTTCTGGTGGCTTTCCATGTTCAGTTTTGCTGCTGTGCAAGTTTAGATCGAGCATCATTCATGTATGCAGGCATCAGGAGCAAGATGCGCTGTAATAGCTTTGAAGACGGTTAAGCCGTATGCAGACAGCTCCGCTACACGTTCCAGCTAGAGTTGCTATCGATTCCACATGCCAATAGCAGGACACAACTCTTCGGCTCGGGAAGCTGTTTATTCCACCCTATTCTCGTCTGCATAAACCTCTCCTTCTCTCCTCGAGGTGGGCTGCTGGTGCTCACATCACAAACCCACCGACTAGCTGACGAGTCTTGCCTTGCCCTGCACCGAGCTGCCAAGAAGTGGGCAAGACTCTGATATGAGTGAGATGGAAGAGATAAGTATGTATGCATGCATGCACTGTATAGTATGCCATAGAAAGATCAAGAGTTACGTATGTATGCGTGCATGCATGCATGCATGCATATAATCATGAAGGTTTGCACGTGTTTATTTGCATGTGCATGCAATCTATGTATGTATGTATGTATGCATGTACATCTGTATGTATGTACGTAAGTATTTACGTACGTATGTGTGTATGTACGTATGATTACGTATGTACATGTGCATGTATGTGTATACGTTTTTGCGTGTGTATGTACGTATGCATGTATGTGTGTATGTATGTAAGTATGGCATGTATGTACTGTGCGTACGCATGTACGCAAATACCAGTGTATGTATGTATGTAGGTCTGTACCGTATACCTGACTGCCTGCCTGCCTACCAACATCCTCGCATGCATTCATCCCTGCATACATACATACTCGCGAACATGTGTACATACCTACCGCATACTTACTTACATGCATACGTACCTACATCCTTGCGTACAAAAATGCGTGCTTGCGTACGTGCATGAATGGTCACGCGCTCCGCGGCCCCCCCCCCCCTCCCCCCCCAAAGGTCAATGGTCCGGATATAGGGTGGGACCCCCCTCCCCTGTGGTGTGGGGTGTGGGGTCCCTCTTCCCCCTCTGGGGTGGTTGTGGGGTTTTGGGGTTTAGGGGTTAGCCTAAGCTTTTGAATGTTGGGTTTACGGTTACAAGGTATGACGCTTCGAGTCGACAAGGGCTTAGGGAGGATTTGCGGTGTATGTTCTGCTTGAGGCTTAGAGCCTGCAGTTAGGTGGGGTTTAGGGTTGGGTGTAGGGTTTTAAGCACAAGTTAAGGTTACTCAAAACAGGGACAATCGCGGCGTGATAGGGTTTACGGCTTGCTTGCGAAGGGCTTGCGTATGCCCTGGCCACCAGCACCACCCCACCATATAGTGGCAGCTCCAACCGCCCCGACCCCTTTCCGCACACGCCAGTCCCCCCCCCCCCCACCCCCTGCCAGACCATACCAAGGGGGGGGGGGGGGGGGGGGCTGGGAACGCCAGACGCCTGACCATGAATGCCTGCATGCATGCATGCATTCACGCACGCATCCGTGCATGCATACATGCACGTACGCATGCATGCATACACGCACACATTCATGTGCGCGCCTGCATGCATGCATACATGCAGAAATAGAGACATACGGACATGGCCACAGACATGCAGACATACGGACATACATGCATACATGCATACACACATATACATATACACACATGTATACACACATGCACATACATACATACACACATACATACATACATACGTGCATACATACATACATGCATGCATACAAACATGCTAGCAACCATGATGACATCAGGTTTGGCGTATCATGGCATAGCACAGCATATCCCAGGTAGCCCAAAATATCGCACAGTGTAGCATAATAAGAATGAAACACAACATACCATGTCGTAATATAGCACAGCAGCATAAGACACAACAACTCTGCACAATGCAGTTCAACACCAGGGCTTCAGGGATTAGGGCTTTGGGTTGAGCACACAACCCACCACGACGCAACACAGCACAGCACAACACAAGTTAACGTACATACTTACATCATACATAGATACATAGATACATAGATACATACATACATACATACATACATGTTACATACATACATACATACATACATACAAGAATTCTAAGTTTCCGTCATCCGTGCCTGCAGTTCGTTTCGGCATACATGCCTATTTGTGAGACCATTTGTGAGACCAGGAGAACCGGCCAATGGCAAAGCGCGCTTCCGCCTGGCTTTTGCAATATTCCGGGCTGGCACGGTCGAGAATCAAACCAAGGTATCCGATGCGATAAAGCATGTTTGCATTGCGGCAGCATTGAATAAGGTGCATGCAGATCAGTCAATCACAGACTTGCTTGGAGAGATAGCCAGCATGTCAGAGAAGCCTGTACCGCCACCTGGAGGCGTGGTGGCGGTCAGGTCATCACAGCAGTTGGCACAGGCCCTTTGTAGTGCCGCTACGAAGTTCATCTGTCTGACCCCCGGTGACTACGCATGTCTTCCTTGGCCACCTGCATTTCGGGTGGAACACGATGTGACAATGGTGGGCTTGGGTAATGTTACCTGCTTAAAATCTGCGAGCCATGTGTTTGATATTAGGGCCCGCTTGCACATGAGCAACATTCGACTAACCGACGGGCAGACCAATGTGCAAGGGGAAGGTTTCGCTGCATGCGTGGTGAGCGGTACTGCCTCTTGGCTCACTTTGGTCAGCTGCACCGTTGAGAACAGCTGCGCAGGTGGAGTTCTGGTTTGTGAGAGCGGCCGGTGCACCATCGACAGTTGCAAATTCCACAATCTGTCGCGGCAAGCCATCGAAGTGAGAGAGCTTGGGCAGCTAGAGGCACGACACACGCAGTTTCAGCGCGTCAGGCAGGGGGTGTCGGCCTACGCAGGAGCACGCAGCGTTCGCCTTGAGCACGTGCTCATCGATCGCACTCAGAACGAAGGAGTTCTAGCTTCTGGTGATCTCAAGACCCCAGAGACCAAAATCCTTGAGCAGAATCTTGATGTGACGCACCTCCAACAAGCCAGCAATCCCCGAGGAACACCGGGATGGAAGCAGCGGGCAGAGGCACATCAGGCCGGTCGTTGGATATCAATGATGTCAGCCGAAATGGCAGAGGAGCTGGATTGGAACGGCAGACTGGTGTTTTTGATGTCGGATTCCACGATCAGGAATGCTGGAGGTTTGGCCTGCAGTTTGGATGAAGGCTGCGCAGCGCAGGTTATAAGGTGCACTGTGGAGAAGACGAGTAGCTAGGTAGCCACTGGACATTTTGCGTTTCCTTTTGTTGGGCTTATAGTCTAATTAAGAAGATCCGATTAACGAAGATTGTTCTCAGGCTTTCTAGGGTCAGCCCAGGTAAAAACTTCTCCGCTGGGTTTGCGGGTATTGGAATGATGATCAAGGGCGGGTCAGATGCCACAGTGAAGCAGTGCCGTTTCCTGGAGAACGTTGTAGGCTTGAACGTGGGCTTCAACTACGCAGGAAATGTCGTTGTCGAGAACTGCGTCTTTGCCAAGAACGCGTTCAGGGACCTCGTCGAAGACGGCAACACAGACCCTCTACAGCTCATTCGGGAGAAGCTCCGTAAGGGGGCGTCATCCGCTGATGCTGCAAAGCTAGAGTCATACGTCGAGACGCACCGGCAAGCCGGTGTATGGAGCACACCCGCCAAGCAGGTTGGACTGCGGTTCCTTTCAAAGAAGGATCGGATTCCTGAAATCTCAGAGATATCAGCAGTTGGAGTGGGCCCGACATCGAAGCAGCCTTTGCCACAGAAACTTGCATGGGAAGCAGCTTCAGAGAACCGGTGTCTTGTCCGCCAGTCTTCTGTGCGTGCACAGGGTTGAGCATTCTGACATTGAAGACGGTTGTTTCTGGGTGGGCGGGGGGAGTTCTTGCGGTTTTGTCCCTGCGACGGGAATCCGGTAGCATGCGACAGCACGGCATTCTGGCGCAAAAGCCGGATGCAATAGCACAGTGCCTTAGTCCATGTATTTTCCAAGCTCCGAATCTCTCAGTCCTTAGCCCTGAATCCCAACCTAAAGTCTAACCATTAAACCCGAATCCCGGCTTTTCTAATGTCTAGCCTTAAACCCTCAACAGTTTCGATAGAAAAGGAAGCGGATTCGGCAGAATCCGACCCAAAGCTTCCGTTGCCAAGCCCAGAGGCCCAAAACAACAGTTCTTCAGTCCGATGCTAGTTAGATCCGAATCTAGGGTTTAGGCTAGGTACTGCTCCCCATACAGTAAGAGTCTATAAAAGGGCTACTATTATGGTCCTAATATGTCTATATTATGAATATTATTCAACTATTACTGAGTGGGGGACCGTACCCGTACCCAAGGTTTAGGGTTTAGGCAAAAGTGGTGACAGTAGCCCCTTGCGGCCCCGATATAATTCGTGTGTCACACGGTGAAACTTTTGAAGGCTAAATCGATCTTGACTTGTTCCAGCGTTTGGGCTCTTGCAACGACCCGAATCTTTATTCCCGAGCCGTATCTTCCCGCATCGAATCTGAATTTGCCACAAGAAAGACCCAGGTATGATCTGGCAACGCCTTGTCCATGTGGTTTCTGCAGCACAGAGCTCGGGAACAGCGCGGAGTGTCTGAGCTGAGATCATGAACACTACGGTTTAGCGTTGCTAAGTTCATAAATGGCCGAAAGAATGGATTTGATTCGATTTGATAAGTCCTTAAAAAATTCCTTGGGGGCCCTTGCGAACATCAGTATTGTTGGAAACTCTCCAAGCCTTGTCAGTTTTCAAACATCCATATTACGTGTTCGGACGGTTTTGGTGTTCAGCTGCTCATCTTCGACCAATGATAAAGGCTTTTGAAGGAGAACATGGTGCACGGATGTGCGGATGCAGGGTTTAGGGCTGTGACGTAGGATTTTACTACTAGCATTCCCACAAAACTCCCAAAATCTGCACTAATCACAATTCCTGAGCTCTGTCTACACACCGAAACCCTAGCACAATCCTTCCCGCACAGAAGTTGTTCTGATGGTAACGGCGTTATGAACTGTCAACCTCCGGGTTACGTAGCAGCCGGTTTTTTGGACTCCCTGTTGAAGTTGAACACTAGGAAACAGGGGCCACAGGGCAACCTCCAGCCCAAGGCCAACAAAGCTCTACCGCGAAAGCCGCATGCCCATATACCAGCCGTGACCAAGAAGACTCAAACCGCTAAGCTTAATTCTGGAAGCCTAGAGGCCCCTAGGATTCGCAGAATGCCTACAGTCAGAAGGGTTCACGTGAGGTTTTGGGGTGCAGGGCTTACTGGGCTAACATGGGCTAACTTAGGTCATCAAGGGTTACCAGCAGGATCTTGACAAATCATTACTCACTCCTCTGAAGGTCCCAAGACAGTAGCTAGAAGAAAAAGAAATACATCAAAGCATAGTTTGTGCTGTCAGGCCTCTACAGTTACAAGCGATACGGGCCTCAAGACTGAAATGGTTGCAAGAGTCGAAGCTCTAGTTAGGGTTTTATGCCCTAAGTTTAGGGTTAGGGGATAGTAGGGAGTCTCTCTTGCATGGTGCCGAATATGCTATGACTTAGGGTTCTGGGTCCATGAATGTGTTTTAAGACCTGGCAAGGTCTGGACATCTGGCTCGCTAGGGCACGGGGGATCCCGAACTTGACAGTGCGGGTTTGTTTGGTTTAGGGCTTTGAGGGGTTAGGCGATGTGACCAGTTTCCAAACTCGGTGTAAACCCCCCCAGGCCTAAGCTCTAAGCCCTAAACCTGACCTTTAAGCCCAGGTGTGGGCAAGTGGGTCTGCTGAACCACATCGATTTCCCCCCGTTCATGTGCCTGCCGGTCGCGGGGCCTTGAGCTGGGTGTTTAGGGTTTAGGGGTTTAGGGTTTAGGGGTTTAGGGGTTTAGGGTTTAGGGTTTGGGGGTTTAGGATTTAGGGTTTAGGGGTTTAGGGGTTTAGGGTTTCGGCTTCAAGGTTTAGGGTTTAGGCTGTAAGGTTGAGGGCTTCGGGCTTAAGGCAGCTGTTTGACAATTTTGTGTTAAGGTTGTGAGCAATGCTTGGGAGTTTCGGGCTTCGGGCCTGTGATCTCTTGGAGGGCCGAGCTTTGGAGCGTGTTACGGCTGAGGGTTCCCAGTTCTGCTGCCGGGTTGCGATTTGAGAAGCTGTTGCTCTGCAGCGCAGCTGCAAATTCCACTTAGCAGGATGCCCCACCGCGTTGTAAGCACGGAATTTTGAGCGTATAGAGCATGGAGAATGACATACTGCTAATGCTAAGGCCTCGGTTAACTCCCAAAGCGCAAGTGAGATTGTCCGAATACCGAAACCGAAATCTTCAGTAGCCCTCAACTAACCCTAAGCAGCCGTCCCAAGCTGAACCTGCAACGCAAAAGCCAAAATCAGTGAACGTAAACCTTAATCCCTCAGCCTTGGACCTCAAGCCCCAAATATTCCTGAAGCTTTCAGAACTAAGCCCGAGACTTTACAAACCTGAACTGAGCCTTAAACCCTACACCGTAGGCCTTTCAACACGGAACCATCTTAGGCTTCGTCTGCAAGCAAGCACAGGCTCGCCCTGCCCTCGCGGAGAAGTTGGACGACCCTAACGCGCAGTTCTACTTCCGCCCCTCCGACCCAGGTTTAGAGCCTAGGGTTCTTAGACAGGGCTTGGGGGCCAAGTTAGGGTCGAGGGCCTTGGGGTTCTGGGTCGGGGGTATTGAGGGCTTTGATTCAACTTAGAGGCTCCGCGGACGTATCTGTAGGGCTTGACAGGTGGATGTAGGGGAGCATCATGATTACAAGTCCCTATACAGTTCAGCTCAAGGATCCTACCACCTAGGGTGTTAACTTCGGTTCCACTACTCTATGAAACTACGAATCTCTCATTTGGACTGGATTCGGGTTCGGGGATTGTGGGCTTCTTTAGGTTCGGGATTTTGCCCCGGCTTCTTTTGGGACGAGCGCAGCCTTGTAGGCAGGGTTTTGTCGGGCTTCGACAGGGATAGCTATGCTACATTCCTGGTTGAGGGAGGATGGTTTGTCTCAATGAGGTGTCTGCAGTGCTCCACACCTATCCTTCTCCCAACATCTGCACCAAAGTCTTCGAAAGTCACTGCAGCCTCGACTTGGAGTCCGTTTCTTCTCAGTCAGCAGTTTGGGTATGCGAGGCCGCCGTATGGGTCTGTGCTTGAGGATCCCTGCCAGGCATCAGAGCACGAAGTCTCTTCCTAAACATTGATTGAAATTAGGGTTCACCTGGCTTGTTTGAGCAACTCAGTGTGGTGATTGAGGGCAGCCTCAACAACACAGACACCCTATACCCATACACTTTTCACCCAGCGACCCCCAATGCCGCCAAGTTCAAACCCTCGAGTGCTTCAAAAACTGCTAGTTCCCATGAGGTTCAGATGCATCTGCTCCATTTCGTCATTGGTGTCTCATGGGAGAGGCTCGCTTGGGAGCACTTTGGGACCATCGAGTTGTCTTGCAAGTGTAAGTGGCTAATATGTTCAACCCATAAAGGCTTAAACCCATACAGGAACCCTTAAAGGAGCCCTCTTCCCACAGATACTGTCGGTGGCTATTGCCCGCGGTGCAGACGCACACTCCTTCATGGCAGCGGCGGGTGAGGATGCAGCCAAGAGCCATGGCTCACTTCAGGGTTTTTTGGGGGGGGGTTCAGGGATTTAGGGTTTAGGGTTCAGGGGTTTAGGGTTTAGGGGTTTAGGGTTTAGGGGTTTAGGGTTTAGGGGTTTAGGGTTTAGGGGTTTAGGGGTTTAGGGTTCAGGGATTTAGGGTTTAGGGTTTACAGTATTGGGTTTTAGGGGAGTGGGACCAGGTCCTTAAGAGGTTTGGGTTTAGGATTAGCTGAGAGGCTATCTTCGAGGCGCATTTAAGATGCTTCAAGGAATTAGGGATATCTTTTTTGTAAGGGAGGTGGGTGGGGGGGAATACTGGGGTTTGTTGAAACGGGGCGCGGGCTTGGCTCGAATATAGTTGGGCCCTGGCAGCAACTTACCTTTGGTTAGTAGGGAATGGAAGAATGGTAGTAATAGTAGTTGTAATTGTACACCATTCCTCCATTCCCTACTATCCAATGGTAAGGATACCCTGAACTCTAAGGCCCTAAACCTTAAAACCCGAAACCCTACTAACCAACGGTAAGTCTTCATCGCAGCTTCGAGTCGAGAGTTCAGGAGCATCCAAATACGGACGAGGTTCGCAGACCAGTCCTCCCCAGAGTCCGATGCGCCTTGGTCTTTTCCTCCTGGAGACTGTGCGTCCCGAAGAAGCGTGCAGATAGACCGAAAGATCACAGCGGCAAGAAGTGCGATACCGTAGCCCAAAGTTTCAGCAAGCCTCAAGAGAGTCTGAGCACCAAGCCTCCTAAACCCTAAACCCTTAACCCTAACTTCGACGTGTTTGAGGTAGAAGTCCTGATCATGCTGGACGAGCCGTTGGTGCAAGGGAGCTCGCCCTTGAAGCCGGGTTGTACTCTTGCTGTACTGCATCTCAGCAAATTCATGGTGGTAGGTGTCCTCCTCCTCCTCCTCACGGCCGTCATCATCATCATCATCATCATCACCTCTGCAGTCATCATGATGTCGCTGCTACTATCGCCGTTGTCTTCGGCACCATCAGCTGATGCCGGTGGTGGTGCGGCTGTTGGTGCTGTTGCTGCCGCTGCCGCTGCTGCTTGCATCACAGCCATCTTTCCTGTAGGTTACTGTGGCCATTACACCGGCACATGGACTCTTGTGCCTTGTCGGTACCAAGGTATCCAGAAGCATCGGAGATTGACATCACCCGGGGAACTGGCCAAGTGGTGGTCACCGACAGTCGCCGCATCTATGCCTTTGCTGGACCCCTATCAGAAGTGCTGAAGCTACTCCGACGGCAATTCAGCCCGTCCTAGACCTCTGAATCCCTCTGTATGACAATTGCAAGAGAAGTTGGGCTTGTAGGCCCCCCGATCTGACATTAAGACCACCCAGAGACTCCAATATCCCTTAATTAAGGAACATACCTTACATCATATTAGGGATCCTACCATAATTGAAGATATATTCCTTAATTAAGGGATATTGGAGTCTCTGGGTACTTCAAACCAACGCGACCTACTCGTCTGGCAAGTAAGACTCTACAAATTTTAACCGGGGCTTGAGCCCTGTGTCCCTTGCTAACTGGGTATGGTCGAGGCTATCGGAGAACTGCCTGGCGGACGAGAACTCCGGCAGCATGGCACGAACTCGAGCAGTTCTAGACCGTCGGAGGTTACTTGGAGGTTCATGGGTAGTTATGAGTAGGGTTAAAGGTCCCCTAATAGGAGTTATAAGTATAGTTACCCTACTTATAACCCCACCTATAACTACCCATGAACCTCCAAGTAACATGTGTCATCTAGTTGGGTCGAAAAGGGGAGTCACTTGTTGGCGAAGCTGCGCAGAGCTCTGGACTCTGAACAACATGTGCCGAGAGTTGTTGCACATACTAATTCACAAGGCGAGTCGGCAAGCCTTAAAGGTTCTGGGACCGTATGACTCTTTGAGCAGACGGTACCTAGACCCTCCACCTACCCTCTATTAGTCCCTAAATCCCCCTTGTTTGGGGCCATACCCAGAGAGCCCAATACCACTTAATTAAGGAATAGAGCTTAAATCATAATCTGAAGCCCCATATAATTTAAGCCATATTCCTTAATTAAGGGGCCCCTTGGGCTCTCTGGGTATAACAGAGACTCCAATTATTCCTTAATTAGGGAGTATACCTTAAATCATATTAGGGATCCTACCATAATTTAAGGTATATTCCTCTCATTTGTATAGCTCTGGTCATTTGGACTTTGTTCTTGTACTCTATCCTTAGTATATTCCTTAATTGAGGGATGTTGGAGTCTCTGGGAGGGTCCTGGTAATCAAGAGCCCCCGGGCCCCGGGCCTTGAAGTCCTGAAGGCCCTGAAGCGTAAGAGAAAATCAAAGGGTAAGAGGAGGGACCCTTAATTTGAGGCTCTTAGGGTTCCTTTAAAGGGATCTATAAGGGTTTAGGGTTTAGGGTTTGGGGGAAAAGGAGGGACCCTTAATGGGGACCCCTACCCTATAATGGGCTGTATAATGGGTATATAATGGCCAATTTCAGGGTATATACCTCGGGGTCCTTATTAAGGGTCCCTCCTTTTTCGCTTGGAAAACGGCTGGTCATCTTAGACTTTTTGGAGCTCGCCCTTTGAGGTACCGAGCTTCAGTCGGCTCAATACCCGCAACTGCGTCGGCAAAGGTTTAGGGCTTGGGGTTCCTAAGGGTATGGGATTTTCTTGGTGGAAAAGGCTTCAGGGTACATGTTTTCCGGACAAATCGGTACAAGTATCTATGCAAGAAGCACCCCCAGCATGCTCAATGAACATCTTTCTCTCCAGATGGTGGTAGATGCTAAGGCAACTTGGTCGTCAAACGGCCATGCTTCGACAGCTCTCGTCCTCTGACTTTCGCTCCTTCGACTCGCACCTCAGCTTCGCTACCTGGGCAAAGCAAGCTGCAGACGAAGAGTCCCAACGTTCGGCTGCCGCGGAAGCTATGGCCGAAGCTCCCGTGAAGGAGCTGCCTACAGAGACACTGTGCCATAGTTGGGCAAACTTTTTAATTTTAAGGGTACTTGAACCCAATAAGGAATAAACGTATAAATTTGTATTACTATCCCAACCATGAACTAGGACAGAAGCACCACAAGTTGATGAGCCCATTGTGGCAACGGCAGATGACCTCTGCGCGCGGTTGGATGCCTGCGAAAGCTCCGAGCTGGCGACTGTCATTCAGGCGGTGGAGGAGGCGCTACAAGAGCTGAAGGACGATGGCTCCTTCGTCATCAGCAAAAGTGGTGGGCGGGTCAAGGTGCAGAACAAGTTGAAGCGCATAAAGGCCGCAAGATTGCTGAAATCGTTTTGGGCATGTGCAGTGGGGCCGGCCTTTTCTTCGGGGAATCAGGACTTCAATACCGCAGACCAAGCACTTCACATCTCAGAAGCGTGAGACGGCAATGTAGACAGCCACCCATCACCAATCCTTACGAAAGCATGCTGCCTCCAAACACCCTCTGAGCCAGCATCATGGTAGCTCGAGAAAAGTTTCCCTACAAAGCCTTGCATCTCGCAATGTTAGGACCCTCGAAATCCTGAACCCCCAATGGAGTCTCCTGATGCCTTAAATCCGACACCGTCGCGTTGTTTGCAGGCCCGCGTAGCCAAAGCTGAAGAAGCGTCCGCAGAGGTGGCAAAAACGGCCGAGGTGCATGGAATTGTCATACAGGGGTTGGGTTTTGGGTTTCAGGACATGTGCTGACGACGTATCCGGCTGTTTGTTGAAATTAATCAAGCGACCTAATGTGGGAACCTGATTAAGAAAGGGGGGGAGCCCCCCCCCCCCCGCTATCAAGGTCACAAGGTCGGACACCTCGCCCCCAAAACCCCCGAAACGATTAAGTGGAAGAACCTTGTTGGGGGGGTTTGGGGGAAACCTTGTTCAAGGTCCCGGAGAACCTTGTTTGGGGACCAGTATAATAGTGTAGTAGTACAGTAGTAGTACAGTAGTAGTACAGTAGTAGTACAGTAGTAGTACAGTAGTAGTACAGTAGTAGTACAGTAGTAGTACAGTAGTAGTACAGTAGTAGTACAGTAGTAGTACAGTAGTAGTGCAGTAGTAGTGCAGTAGTAGTGCAGCAGTAGTAGTACAGTACCAGTGGACCCTTCTAATGGGGGGGGTGGGCATGGGGGTTTATTCAAGGTCAGGTTTTTCCGGGCGAGATCGGGTGAGCCTGTCTAATTGGGGGGGTGGGCATGGGGGTTTATTCAAGGTCAGGTTTTTCCGGGCGAGATCGGGTGAGCCTGTCTAATTGGGGGTGTGTAGCCAAACTCCGCGCTATTGGGGGGTTGAACGTTTAAAGCAATACAAGACCTTGTTTGGGGAATTGGGGGAAACCTGTTCGAGGGAAAGCTAATACATATTGATTTATTAATTAGTATACTACTAGTTACTAGTACAGTAGTAGTACAGTAGTAGTACAGTAGTAGTACAGTAGTAGTACAGTAGTAGTACAGTAGTAGTACAGTTGTAGTACAGTAGTAGTACAGTAGTAGTACAGTAGTAGTACAGTAGTAGTACAGTAGTAGTACAGTAGTAGTACAGTAGTAGTACAGTAGTAGTACAGTAGTAGTGCAGCAGTAGTAGTACAGTACCAGTGGACCCTTCTAATGGGGGGGGTGGGCATGGGGGTTTATTCAAGGTCAGGTTTTTCCGGGCGAGATCGGGTGAGCCTGTCTAATTGGGGGTGTGTAGCCAAACTCCGCGCTATTGGGGGGTTGAACGTTTAAAGCAATACAAGACCTTGTTTGGGGAATTGGGGGAAACCTGTTCGAGGGAAAGCTAATACATATTGATTTATTAATTAGTATACTACTAGTTACTAGTACAGTAGTAGTACAGTAGTAGTACAGTAGTACTACAGTAGTAGTACAGTAGTAGTACAGTAGTAGTACAGTAGTAGTACAGTAGTAGTACAGTAGTAGTACAGTTGTAGTACAGTAGTAGTACAGTAGTAGTACAGTCGTAGTACAGTAGTAGTACAGTAGTAGTGCAGTAGTAGTGCAGTAGTAGTGCAGCAGTAGTAGTACAGTACCAGTAGACCCTTCTAATGGGGGGGGTGGGCATGGGGGTTTATTCAAGGTCAGGTTTTTCCGGGCGAGATCGGGTGAGCCTGTCTACTTGGGGGGGTGGGCATGGGGGTTTATTCAAGGTCAGGTTTTTCCGGGCGAGATCGGGTGAGCCTGTCTAATTGGGGGTGTGTAGCCAAACTCCGCGCTATTGGGGGGTTGAACGTTTAAAGCAATACAAGACTCCAAGACCTTGTTTGGGGAATTGGGGGAAACCTGTTCGAGGGAAAGCTAATACATATTGATTTATTAATTAGTATACTACTAGTTACTAGTACAGTAGTAGTACAGTTGTAGTACAGTAGTAGTACAGTAGTAGTACAGTAGTAGTACAGTAGTAGCACAGTAGTAGTACAGTAGTAGTACAGTAGTAGTACAGTAGTAGTACAGTAGTAGTACAGTAGTAGTACAGTAGTAGTACAGTAGTAGTACAGTAGTAGTACAGTAGTAGTACAGTAGTAGTAGTACAGTAGTAGTACAGAAGTAGTGCAGTAGTAGTGCAGTAGTAGTGCAGCAGTAGTAGTACAGTACCACGACCCTTCTAATGGGGGGGTGGGCATGGGGGTTTATTATTCAAGGTCAGGTTTTTCCGGGCGAGATCGGGTGAGCCTGTCTAATTGGGGGGGTGGGCATGGGGGTTTATTCAAGGTCAGGTTTTTCCGGGCGAGATCCGGTGAGCCTGTCTAATTGGGGGTGTGTAGCCAAACTCCGCGCTATTGGGGGGTTGAACGTTTAAAGCAATACAAGACCTTGTTTGGGGAATTGGGGGAAACCTGTTCGAGGGAAAGCTAATACATATTGATTTATTAATTAGTATACTACTAGTTACTAGTACAGTAGTAGTACAGTTGTAGTACAGTATTAGTACAGTAGTAGTACAGTAGTAGTACAGTAGTAGTACAGTTGTAGTACAGTTGTAGTACAGTAGTAGTACAGTAGTAGTTCAGTAGTAGTACAGTAGCAGTACAGTAGTAGTACAGTAGCAGTACAGTAGTAGTACAGTAGTAGTACAGTAGTAGTAGAGTAGTAGTACAGTAGTAGTACAGTAGTAGTACAGTAGCAGTACAGTAGTAGTACAGTAGTAGTACAGTAGTTGTACAGTTGTAGTACAGTAGTAGTACAGTAGTAGTACAGTAGTAGTACAGTAGTGGTACAGTAGTAGTGCAGTAGTACAGTAGTAGTACAGTAGTAGTTGTCGTAGTAGTAGTAGTAGCAGTGGTAGTAGTAGTAGTAGTAGTAGTGGTAGTGGTAGTGGTAGTGGTAGTGTAGTAGGGTAGTACAGTAGTGGTACAGTAGTACACTAGTAGCATAATAGTAGTACAATAATACAGTTGCAGAAAGGTAATGGTACAGTCGTATTACAATAGTATTGATAAGGCTATAATGAAGCTTTCATAAGGCCTTGATAAGGGCTTGATAAGGCCGTAATAAGGGATGAATAAGGCTTCAATAAGGCTGTAATACGGCTTCTTCAATATGGCCTCAAAAAGGCTTGAATAAAGCTGTGAAAAGCTTTAATAAGGGCTTAATGCCTTAATAAGGGCTTAATAAGTCCTTAATCAGCCTCTTAAAAGCTTTAAACAAGGCTGTTAAGCCCTTATTAAACCTAAATAAGCCCTTATGAAAGCCATGTGAAAGCCTTATTTAAGGCTTATAAGAGGCTTATTAAGGCTTTATTAAGCCCTTATTATGGCCTTATTAAGCCCTTATTAAAGCCATATTAAAGCTTTATTAGAGCTTTATTTAAGGCTTATAAGAGGCTTATTAAGGCTTTATTACGCCCTTATTAAAGCCTTATTAAGCCATTATTAATGTCAAAGATTCTAAATGACACCACCGGGGTTTGAGCCCGCGCCCTTTTTCCAGAAGGGCTTGTAAGCCATCCGCTTACCCGCTGAGCTATGGGCGACTAGACGAAACTGGGGGCGGCCGTTCAGCAGGGCGTATTGGGCAGGGTCGCGGGCTCAATCTCCGGCGGTGTCATTTGGGCTCTTTCCCAACCGGAATCGAAATTTTGAAATGACCAATAACCGCCAAGAGCACAAGCAAAACCCAAAACCGTGCAAAGCCAGCTGACACTGCCTGAAACTGGCCGAAACTTGCTGATGTTGGATGATATTGCTGGATGAAACTGGCTGATCCTGATACTGACTGATGCCAGCTGATACTGGCCAACAGCTTGGCTGAGCCTGGATGATATTGGCTGATATTGGCTGAAACTGGCTGATCCTGGCTGATACTGGCTGAAACTGGCTGATACGATGATACTGGCTGATCCTGGATGATATTGGCTGATCCTGGCTGATATTGGCTGATTCGGGTTGAAGCTGGCTGATCCTGGCTGATATCGGCTGATACTTGCTGAAACTGGCTGATACTTGCTGATGTTGGATCATCTTGGCTGATCCTGATATTACTGATGCCAACTGATACTGGCCAAACAGCTTGTGATGCTGGTTTGTCTTGGCTGATACTGGCTGATACTGTCTAATACTGGCTGAAACCGGCTGATGCTTGCTTGATGCTGGCTGAAACTGGCTGATCCTGGCTGATATTGGCCGATATTGGCTGATACTGGATGATATTGGCTGATATACTGGCTGAAACTGGCTGATCCTGGCTGATACTGGCTGAAACTGGCTGATACTGGCTGAGACTGGCTGAAACTGGCTGATATTGGCTGTGCTGAAACTGCATGATATTGGATGATACTGGCTGATGCCAGCTGATACCGGCCAACAGCTTGGCTGATCCTGGCGATGCTCGCTGATATTGGCTGATACTTGCTGATGCTGGATGGTACTGGCTGATCCTGGCGATATTGGCTGATACTGGCTGAAACTGAAACTGGCTGAAACTGGCGATACTGGCTGGCTGGCTGAAACTGGCTGATACTTGCTGATGCTGGATGATATTGGCTGATCCTGGCGATATTGGCTGATACTGGCTGAAACTGGCTGATACCGGGATACTGGCCGATACTGGCTAAGACTGGCTGAAACTGGCTGATACTTGCTGATGCTGGATGATATTGGCTGATCCTGGCTGATATTGGCTAATACTGGCTGAAACTGGCTGATACTTGCTGATGCTGGATGATAATGGCTGATCCTGATACTGACTGATGCCAGCTGATACTGGCCAACAGCCTTGCTGATGCTGGCTGAGACTGGCTGAAGCGCTGATACTTGCTGATGCTGGCTGAAACTGGCGGATCCTGGCTGGTATTGGCTGATACTGGATGATATTGGCTGATACTGGCTGAAACTGGCTGATACTGGCTGAAACTGGCTGATACCGGGATACTGGCCGATACTGGCTAAGACTGGCTGAAACTGGCTGATACTTGCTGATGCTGGATGATATTGGCTGATCCTGATACTGACTGATGCCAGCTTATACTGGCCAACAGCCTGGCTGATGCTGGCTGATACTGGCTGATACTGACCGGTACTGGCTGAGACTGGCTGAAGCGCTGATACTTGCTGATGCTGGCTGAAACTGGCGGATCCTGGCTGGTATTGGCTGATACTGGATGATATTGGCTGATACTGGCTGAAACTGGCTGATGCTGGCTGAAACTGGCTGATACTTGCTTATGCTGGATGATACTGGCTGATCCTGGCTGAGACT